AAACGCTAGAAACCAGTCTCAACCCGAAGAGCACCCCATGAATTTACCATTATGATTCCGAGTACGTTCGAAGCAGAGCAGCGCCGCTCAATTTTCACAATCTGAACTCGACGAGTGCCGTACGAGTTCATAATCCCGATTCCGAGTAGGTGCTCCGCAGACTAGATCCCCACAATCTACCACATCTGATGCTTGTAGTTCAGCTACGGAGACACGAACCTGCCAGAGGCTGATGAAACAATGCTGCGGTTGGGCAGCCCAGAGTGCAGCTTCTGGGCTAGGGTTTCGGGTTCTTAGGTGTGGGGTCTCGCCCTTCGTGGCGTTAGGCTACGGTTCGCGCTTGGGTTCTTTGGGCGGAAACAGGCAATACTTTGTAGGGTTTTTTGCTGGCTTATGGGTTGTAACTTGTGTTTCGTCCAGCAAAGACGTAGTAGAAGCGGGGCTAGAGGCAGCACTTTGCAGTATGATTTTGGTTAGAAATTTGTGGGTTGGAATTTTGTTTCAGGGGTATTCGTAAGGCAAGACTTCGCACGATTATTTTCGGTTTATGTGTTGTAACTTGTGTTTGATAGGAGTATTAGTAGCGGGGCAAAATTGGGTTTATGGATGTGCAGGTTGTGTGTAGTACCAGAAAATGCAATCCGCCCACTTCTCCTTTATAAAACTTCAGGAAGGGTCCTGGTACTCGTAACCCCCAGACCTTAAACTGTAAACCCTAAAGCATCCAGAACGACGAATGAAGCAGTGCTTGCCCAATGTCCTTGACCCGACGTGCTTTTCGAGGATTGGCCCACTCTCAGCCCTCAATGCGTAGGGTTTAGGGCCTAGGGGTTCTGATGATCGGCGGCTTGTGGTGAGCCGTTTCAGGCAGGCTTGCAAGGCCGTTGCAGCAGAGGGTGAATTATCGAATCCTCTCTTATTCGATCTGAAAGCGGCGATGCTTCTAGCACGAAAACAACCTGCGAAGTTAGGAGTGTTGAAGCTATCGCAAGTAATCACAGGGGGTCCCTCTTACTAGTATTGTGATTCATGCCCCCTGAACCCTAAACCTTCTTATAGTTCTCGGCTCCTCCCCCTACGTGGCCACGTCGCATCCAATCGAGGAAAGCCCCGAAAGCCGCCCCGGGAGCCGAGCCCGGGGCTTGGCGGCGCCATGCGGAGGTTTAGAGTTTCCGTTTTAAAGATTGTGTGTCTGCATCATGAAGTCAGGAGAAGGATGAGGAGGATGAGGAGGATGAGAAGGAGGAGGCGGAGAAGGAGGAGGAGAAGGAGGAGAAGGAGGCGGAGGAGAAGGAGGAGAAGGAGGAGGAGGAGGAGGAGGCGGAGGCGGGACAGCCCCAAAAAGTAAGAACCCCACACAGTGATGTGGGGAATAATGCATCCAGATCAACAGTATTCTAAATAAGACTTTCAAAGTTCCAGATTGTAGAATCAGGAATACTTCCAGATTGCATAATCTGGACATCTGGACGAGTAGTCCCTCACAAATCTGGAATTCCGAAAGTGTTGACCCTGGCCACTGTGGATTTCTGGAAATATTTAATTACATATCAAAGCATAGTCTCTGGAATCGATGGAACAGCGGATTTCAGCGTCAGAGCATTTCGTGTCGCGAATAAGTACTGGCGGCACGGGAACATCAGATTATTCGAGCAGCAGAGTATTCCGCGTCGCGAGCCCCCGAACTCCAACCTTGAACAACCCTGAAGTTGCGGCTTTGATCCGTCAAAGATGAAGCTGGTTGTACTTGACATGAGGGTCTGTGTTTTGGAGGGGGGCGGACCAGCTGTGTATATATATATATATATGTACATATACATATATATATATATATATATCATGTATATGCAGACGCTTGCATGATACATACATACATACATACGTACATACATACATACACACAGGCATACAACTTACGTACACACATATACATGCAGACAAACAAGCACACCAATAAAGAAGAAGGCAGCAAAAATACAGAAGCAAATGAATGATCAGGTGTGTATATATACAAATATATCATATGTATATATATATACATATATATATATAGATGTATAGCACTCTGTCTGTGTACATATATATATATATATATGGCTTGATGTATACATACAAATATATGTGTCTATGCATCACAAACGCACGAATACACACATGTACTGCATCATGTAGTATATAGAAGCATCACCAAGCTGAGCTGCGCGAGTTCTTGTTTCCAGGATCTGGACAACGTGCCGTACTTATCTGCTGTCATCAACGAAGGCCCAAGCTGCGCATGTCCAACGACTATTCAGCTTCGCGTCTAAGCGATTCAGGGGTAAGGGGCACGTGGAGCTCCAGTACAGGAGATGATTGCATTGTTTTACTGTATGGAACAAGGCCTTGCTACGTAAGTTCTTGAGTTGTATCCCAATGCGTTATAGACTCAGGCTTAAGGCACGTGTGGTGAAGTGTTTCGTGAACGATGCGTCCCAAAGCCTAAATTAGCTGGCCGGGGGGGGCAAAGCACGCTGTGCACCTGCGGGATACCAGGATTGAAAAAAGGTTCCCAAACCTTATCACACCGTCTATCTCGAGCCATGAGCCTAACCCTCCACTGCACATCAAAAAAGCTCAAAGCTTTAAAGTTCTAAAAGCCTCAAGTCTCCACAAACCTCAAGACCCCAGCAAAGCTTGAACAAGGGTTCTTTGATGGTTCTGTTGCCGTATCACATAAAGGGTCCAAGTACTGTACCAAAGCAGTAGGAATTGAGGTCCCAAAAATTGTAGATCTACCTATCCATTATATATGGTGTTTTCATGCCCAAAACCCTACTAGTTGGGCTTCTGGACCCTTAGGGTTCGGGTCCTCCGAGTTCCCAAGCCTACGTCGAGGCCTCCGCGTGCGATCGCCCGTCTTCAATCGCTACAGTCGACAGGCGGCCATTTCTCCTGGCTGGCATTGAATGGAACACGGTTTAGGGTCTGGCGTTTGCGTCTGTAGGGTTTGTTGAGGGTATAGGGAAGCCAGAGAGCTCAAAAGCCTAGTAGAATTACGGATTTCTGATGTTTTGTAAAGTTTACAGAAAGGACCCAGGGTCCTGCTACCAGGGTAAACAGAGTTCATCTAGTTGGTGGCACCGTGAGAAACTTGTACATTGCCGTCATGGTCCTGTAGAAGTACTGATCCTGGGGCCTGAACTTAATTTAGCGCCTACAAATCAGGGTTTGGCCCTAAGGGTTTACGCTTTCGTGCTCTGGGCCCAGGCTCAGGGTGTACAGTTGAGGGTGTGGGGTTTCCAGGCTCACAGGGTCATTTCAGACTGTTCATGCCTGCCATAATCAACTTTTGCCATATTGGGGGACTTCTGTATTGATGGGATTGCTTCGATGGGCGAGCGCGAAGTTCACTGCTTCAAGCCTGTAGGCGTTGAGGCCGGAGCTTAGAGCTTTGTCTCCTTGACACTCAGTGATTCGTTGGAGTGCTTGGTTCCAGATTCAGGACGCAACACTAGGTTGCTCTTGTATGGAGGGCCCTAGATGGGCGAACTGAACTACCCATAGGTCCTAGCCGCTAAGCATGCGGGCATTTGCGGCATATGGATAGTTTTCTAGACTAGGGTCCTGCTCAGGATCCTTATTATAAGAGTGCCGTATTATTTAGGGGACACAAACTGGAACCCTAATTCAATTTGGAGCACTACCTGCTTTTATTCATGCGTAGCCTGCATCTGCCAAGGGAAGCCCTCATTGCTTGGCATTCGCTGCAGGTCCAACAAGGTGGGGTCTTTGTGGCGAGGGTTCCTTCCCGCTATGCAAGCTTCCTTGCGGGCAATTTCCGAATCTTGCAACTTCTAGCAGGAGAACATGGATCTTCATCCTCATGTGTCAGCCTGGATCGCATTTGCAAAGGCTTTCTGAGTCAAGCCTAGTCTCCCAGATCCCCTCGTTGATCCCTGAACCTGCGGCACCTGTTTAGACGCTTGGGTGGGCCCAGAACTCAGGACCCTAGTTCTCATCAGCTGCAGGGCGCTAGAGGTTGCTAGATAAACAAAAGTGCTACGTATTCGGTGCGAGGGAATGCATGTGCACTCTGTCACGACTTCAGAACTGGTGTTTGCAGATGTAGATTATTGTTATTCCACGTTTGGTGCTCAGATTGTGCTGCGCGACTGCGGGGATAGCGCAAAGGGGCGCCCCAATGCGCTGATGATAGAGACGCCGGACTATCTTATGAAGCCTGCATCCCTGAAGCCCTTTCCTAGGCTTTGGTGATCCTTAAGCCAAGCAAAATCCAAGGGGTGTGGGGCTCACGTTTCAGCGAACTGAGTGAAAGCCAAAGGAAGAAATTGAACATGCCTGAAGTTGTGAGCACCTTTTGTTTGATAACCGAATGCTACTGCAAAATAGCTCCTTCTCTGAGCTCTTCGGATTTGTTGTCGCCTTCTGCCCAAGGAACGGCTATGAGGCCATGCTCCAGCTCTGCTGCTTTGGCCCGTACGAGGAACAAGCTCGATCCGTTGGTTTACAGATGCTGGGCCAAATGCTAAGCCCTGCACCGACCTTGCCTGACAGCATCCAAGAGTGGGAGCCGAAAAAAATGAACATGGAATTTCCGTGCATAGAGCCTGGCGAGCTCTATTTTTGGTGTTACAAAATCCCAAAGCCCGGGAAGCCAACCTTTAGACATATGTACTGTGTACCCTTGCCGTCAACTCCTGCGGCCTAGTCTGGAGCGGGGTCTGGCCAAACTTCTGTGTATTTCGGGGTGCCCATCCAAGAGTTTGGCCAAACTGTTGGCTCAAAAGCCAGGTGGCTTTCGTAGCTGCTGTCCGCGCAGCTAGCCAACATGTTGAAAGCTTAATAGTAGAGTCAGGAGCGAGCTTTTTACATGTTTTTGTGTAACTCACGACCTGGAGTGAGTTATCGTTTTGCCATGAGGCTTGTTGGTGAGCCCTGCCCAAGGGTAGTTTGTCTTTTCCTACTACCGTCGGTCCGTTCAACTTCTCACATACCCTGCAATGTCGTCGGTGTTCGTGAGCGGCTTCGACAACCGCACCCCTGCAAGCGCGGTGGAAAGCCACTTCAGCACCATTGGGCCGGTCAAAGCCGTTCGATTCGTTGGCAAAGGAAGTGCCGTTGTGACCTACGTGTCTCGGCTACCAGAACGGTGCAGGGTTGTGCGTTTCATCTGCTATTGCATCTTTCGTTGCGGTCTGCATCATTATTGCACATTTGTTCTCTTTACGAGCCGAGCAGACTGGAGGTTGAAGTTTCAATCCCTTCTTGTTTTGGCTTCAAGGAATCGTTCGAGGACGCGGACCGTGCGGTGATTGATCTCAACAACAGCAGCTTGTCTCGCCGGCTGCTGCCCTTAAATTTCTCGACGCGGAGCCCAAATCCCAAATCCCAAGAGAGGCTTACTCAAATACCCTGAACTTCTCTCTGGGTCTCAGCTTCGTGCAGAAAGTTTAGGAAGTTTCCCGTCTATGTTGCAGTTATAGGAATGAAGGTTGAATTCTGCTCGGCTCAGTTCGCGGAATAGGGACTGATTCAGGGCTCTGGGTTCGGGTGAGGGTGTCGAGTTAGAATATTTTTCGTTTCGGGTCTGGGTTTCGGCTCCGGGCTGGAACGCTTTGAGACAAACCCTGTCAAGCAGCTGTGTTGCGAGCAAGACCAGAACCCTGGAGCCCCAAAGCCACGCAGTCAGGATCCCGGTCACAACGATGATTTTCAGATGTATCAAAAAATCATAGACATATGCACAATTCCTTGAGTGAGATGCCGCGCAGTACAAGTGATGGTAGTCATACTCATGATTCGTTATGACGGCTTTGCCTGGATATGCTAAGGAGTGAAGAGGAGTAGCTCATGATACCAATCGCAGAAATATCCAACTTGACCATGCTGTTGCTCAAAATCCCATCAAGATCACATACTCCCCAAGTCTAGAGCCCAGGCACCATGGAGGGCAACCATTGGCGTGTCAGCGTGAAGATCGACCGAAAAGGCCAGGGCAAAGGCCGGGGTTTTTCCGAACTCAAAAATGCAGGACCTCTTTCTTCGCTAGAACCCTCGGCTTCCCTAAACTCGCAACCCAGACCCAAGCTCGGAGTTTTCTGGAGCCGTCGGAGCTGAAAACGGTGTTGGGGTACGGGGTCGGTTGAAATCTTAAACCCTCTGTCGACAGTCACTGTTCGCCACTTTCCTTGGTTTTGTGATTTGTGTGCTCATCTCCCTTTGTTATGATTTCTGCAAGCACCTTCATACGGCATCCCCTAAAGTTTCGGATTCTGCCAGGCAAGGATGGAAAAGATTCCAAGGGCAGCAGCGGGCACACCAAGGCAGCCTATGGCAAGGGCATGGGAGGAGGTGCCCCGGCTCAAAAGCCTCAGCTGGCTTCAGTTCGGATGCCCGTAGGCGGGGACCGAACCCCAAACTATTCGGCTGAAGCCCTACAGCCCCATGCAGGCCTTGAACTCAGAGTGTCGGCAGATTCGCTCCGGCAGCTGTCGAACAGATTTCGGCTTCTGGTAATTATGTGATCTTTTTTTGCAGTCTTTGCTCTTCTATGTCATGGTCTCCTGTCCGTCAGCCGCTGCCCTTAAATTTCTCGACGCGGAGCCCAAATCCCAAATCCCAAGAGAGGCGTACTCAAATTCCCTGAACATCTCTTTGGGTCTCAGCTTCGTGCAGAAAGTTTAGGAAGTTTCCCGTCTATGTTGCAGTTATAGGAATGAAGGTTGAATTCTGCTCGGCTCAGTTCGCGGAATAGGGACTGATTCAGGGCTCTGGGTTCGGGTGAGGGTGTCGAGTTAGAATATTTTTCGTTTCGGATCTGGGTTTCGGCTCCGGGCTGGAACGCTTTGAGACAAACCCTGTCAAGCAGCTGTGTTGCGAGCAAGACCAGAACCCTGGAGCCCCAAAGCCACGCAGTCAGGATCCCGGTCACAACGATGATTTTCAGACGTATCAAACATCATAGACATATGCACAATTCCTTGAGTGAGATGCCGCGCAGTACAAGTGATGGTAGTCATACTCATGATTCGTTATGACGGCTTTGCCTGGATATGCTAAGGAGTGAAGAGGAGTAGCTCATGATACCAATCGCAGAAATATCCAACTTGACCATGCTGCTGCTCAGAATCCCATCGAGATCACATACTCCCGGAGTCTAGAGCCCAGGCACCATGGACAACCATTGGTATGTCAACGCGAAGATCGACCGACAAGGCAAGGGCAATGGCCGGGGTTTTGCCGAACAGAAAAATGCAGGACCCCTTTCTTCTCTAGAACCCTCGGCTTCCCTAGACTCGCAACCCAGACCCAAGCTCGGAGCTTTCTGGAGCCGTCGGAGCTGAGGACGGTGTTGGGGCATGGGGTCGGTTGAAATCTTTGCCTCTGTCGAAAGTCACTGTTCACCACTTTCCTTGGTTTTGTGATTTGTGTGCTCATCTCCCTTTGTCATGATTTCTGCAAGCACCTTCATGCGGGATCCCCGAAAGTTTCGAATTTTGCCAGGCAACGATGGCAAAGATGGCAAGGGCAGCTGCGGGCACGACAAAGGCTACCTCAAGGGCTACGGCTGTTCGACTGAAGTCCTACAGCCCCATGCAGGCCTTGAACTCAGAGTGTCGGCAGATTCGCTCCCGCAGCGGTCGAACTGACGTCGGCTTCTGCTATGTGATCAGTCTCTGCTCTTCTGTGTTATGGTCTCCTGTCCATCATTGGGTTGCTGTCGAGGCCATTTCAGATTTAGGGATGTGGCTCTACATTTGCCGGGGTCACGTGGTCGGCCTCTCCCCACACCGGATCTGCAAGTCCGATGCCCCAAGCCCCCTTTAACCTCAGACTCTGAAGCAAGATCCCAAAGGAGAACGAGACTACTCCGATGGGGAGATGGAGACTGGTTTCGTTGCGACCAGAGGCCTCAAAGACCTGAGGAAGTATCCTCTGTCTCCCGTATCTTCAGATTTTCGGGCCTGGGGTGTAGGGCTCAGCGTTAAAGATAATAATGTTATAAGCTCGAGGGGACGACGGAAACTGGTAAGTCAATCTCCGGTCTCGCCCCGAACGGCTCCCTTTGTTCCTCAAGTCCACGGTTGATGCACCTCCGCACTCTCAGTGCTCACCGGTCGGCAGGGCACTGTGCAGAGAAGATGTTAGACTGCCACAGTGGAGAGTTCTGTAACTTACAAACTCCTAAACCCATTCTGTCACCCCTACTGTAAACCACTCCAAACCCCAAAAGACTCTCTAGACCTTCAGACCCTGAACTCTACCCCAAGAAAGCACGGAAGACCCTAAACTCCTAAACCCTACATATTTATGTTGCGATATATGGTATTGCGTTGGCAGGAGCCAGCGGGAAGGGGCGAGGGCGCAGACGGCAGAAGAGAGATGTTATGTTTTCTGCAAGCACGTTCACACGGGATCCTCCTAAACTTTCGGATTTTGCCAGGCAAGGATCGAAGAGCTGGCAAGGGCAACGGCTGGTACGACAAGCGCTATGGCGCGGGGGGCTATGGCAAAGGAAAGGGCATGGCAGGAGGTGCCCCGGCTCAAGCGCCTTCAGACTGCCACAATAGGAGAGTTCTGTAACTTACAAACTCCTAAACCCATACTCCATATTCTCAACCCGAAAAAATACAAACCCAAAAACCGCTCTAGACCCTTAACTCTACCCCAGAAAGCCCAGAAGACCCTAACCCCCATATATTATATTGGGGTATATGGTATTAACTACATTGGCGTTACAGTGTTACTTATTATACGTAGTCATCTCGCTGACTGTGTAATTCTTCCCCAAACTTGATGGCTGTCAGGCTATGTTGATTAGTAACTGAATCAGATTATCATAGTGTGTATTTGTTTTCATGGTCATAGTATAAAGCTCTAGTGTATTGGCCGTATGGTTATATAGGGACTACAACAGGATGTTGTCACAACTACTAAGAGGCAATCTCCAGACGCTCGCACGGCCACATTCCCAGCCACTGTGCCTGTATCCTTGGTTTTGGAGGTGCCCCCTCCTTCCCGAATGCCATAGACGCCCGGGAGCTGGAAGCCTCGGCTGCTGTTAAGGGGTTTAATTTAAGTTACCATAATGGGCATCTATGGTAAATAGTTTGGTTCCCTTATTGTGGTACCTTCAATTGAAACCCTTACGTAACAAGAACCCAGCTTTTCCTTTTCTGTTGATGTCGAAAAGATTCAGGATGTGAGAGGCAGCGCCAGCCTTGTTTAGGGTTCGGGGGTTCGTTGGGGGGTTGTCCGCGATCTATAGTTCTGAGGGTTCAAGGTTTGCTCCTTTGGGGGCTGAGGGTCGGCTTGGGTTGAGTAGCGAAATCATAAGCCAGCTCGCTGTCAACTTCTGGGTCGGCTGATGGAGATTCTGTGTTCTTTCTCCTAATGGCTCGTTCCTTCATGGCTTCCTTTACGGGTTCCGTGCAAGGGCTCCTTTATGGGTGCTTTGATGGGGTTCAGGGTTGAGGCTTCACTGACCTGAGAGATCACGGAAACCTCAGGATCTTGGCGCCGTGGCTCTGGGATCCTTCGACCTCTATGTTTAGCTTTATAGGCTTAAGGATGTATAATTTAGGGCCTCGGGTGTATGTTGCCTTTTGGGGGCCCTTGTGGGAAGACTCCTGGGCGGCTTGCAGTAGTGTTTGGGGATTCAAGAGCTATGCCTGCGAAGCGACGAACCAAAAATTCCGCTGTCTGCTGCACTTGATGCGCTTGCCTCTCGCATCCAAAATCTCTTCACATCAAGCGAAGGCCCATAAGCGCTTCAGGACCCAAGGACCAGAATGCATGCCGACTCATTGTAAGGAACAACAAAGGATCAGAAAAAGAATCCAACAAGTTCAGACCCCCCAGTGTTAAGTAAGCAGCACTGCAAAGCACGAGCCTCTAAAGCAGCTTGAAGCTTGGAACTTGTTCACAGGTAAGCATGAATATGAGTCGCCTGAAACGATACAATATGTTTCGGCACCTATCGGCCTGCGTGTAGCCCATCGAGACCCTAAACCCTCAGGCCTCAGTTCTAAATCCTGAACCCTAAACTTAGATCCGCAAGTCTCAGCCCCAAGCCCAGGAGGCTACACTTCTTTCCAGCGCTGAGCCCGGCACTGCGAGACCGCAAGCACATCAGACTTTTGGCCTTTACAGCTTTCAGCAGGATTCAGGGTCTACGGTTTAGGATCTCAGAGAGGTGTGAAAGGGTCCTCGCAGCGTTGTCTACAGGATTTGTTGCTCTTGTTGCTTTGCGTGGGTGTAAGGCCCTATTCGACTTTTTTGGTGTGTGTAGCTTCGATTCTTAATGGGGCTCAGTATGTAAATCGGTTTGATTGTGTGCCATTTTGCATTTTAGCCCTCATGATGGGTGTTGCCGTACCTATACCCGTACATGGAGCTTGCTAACTCCCCGATGCATTGCCTATCACATGACGGAGCCCACGGGTGCGAGTTGAAAGGCTCTTGGATTTTTGGTCTTTGGCTTTAGGTGCCATTGAGGCCGAAGCTATTTTCAAGTACTATTCCGAAGGGGTTTCCAGATATTATGACTCTACGGTTATATGTCCCAAAGCCCCATTCCAATTCTGAAGGCCTTACATGATGCAAAAGCCCCTGAAGCTTGGACCTGCAGCCCCTTTACTTAAAGCCCATCCCTTATACCCTTTAACCCTAAGCCCTGAACCCTATTCCCGAAACCGTAAACCCTTATCAACTCTCATGTAAACGCTAAAACCTAAACCCTTAATTTAAGTTCTTAAGCCCCCAAACCCTTGAGCCGTAAACCCCTGTTGTGGGAGCTCTTAGACAGCTCTGAGGACACCGCGAGCAGGAGACCGTGACCGTCAAATGCCGCTGCAGCTTGATGATGCTATGTGGGCAGTTCTCTAAATTAAGGTCCTTTTTGGGGTCCAAAAGGGTTGCATACTGTCTTGGGGACCTAAAAAGGGACCCAAATTCAGATAACTACCTATGCAGCCTTTTTTTCGGATCCCTTACAGGAGCCCTTGTGGTAAGCCAGCAGAAGTACCTACATGCTAAAGTCTCTTCCTGCAACAGCGCAGGCCAGGATCGACCCTTCTGTATGGTAACCCCGTTTACTTGACCTTATGGGAAGCCTCAGATCTATACACTGGTACAGTCTGTTTGGTATACTTAGTATGGCTTTCTAGCGTTACTATAAGCAACATCGCTATGCTAGCTTGCTCGGTTCCATTTGGGATAAGTTTGAATTTCCTTCATTGTTTTATTAGCACAGAGCACTAAGTATACACGTTTTTATGGACTGTTGATATCGGCACCTAGTTTCTGATATTTACTATACACTCTGCACCTTTGGATGCGAGGCTCCCTGATTTTAGGGTTTGGGATGTAAGAAGAGTTTTGCCGCTTTAGGGTCCAGGGTTGTTTAGGGTTTAAGTTTTAGGGTTTATGGGATTTCAGAAGGGGTTTAGGGGTTTCGGGCTCCATCTGCTGACAGTCGCGATCTTCAGCAGCCGCGCGGACGAAAGGAACAAGGCCAGGGCGGAGACAGATCTAGGAAGGGTTTCTCCACCGGGTTTATGAAAGGCTTTGCGAGGTTCTGCAGGTTCTTGAAACGGTAGATTTACCTAAAGGTACTACGACTGCCCAGCAAGCTACTGCAGACGCTTGTTCTCGGAGTGCTCGTCGTCTCTGGTATTGCCTTGCTAGTAGAGCGAAGCTGCCACGGGATTGGGGTGTTGAGCAGCACAGCAAGCACGTCATGGGTTATATTACATTGGCTTACACTGTTACTATAGTCATAAAACTGACTATGTAATTACAGCATAGATTATGACAGTGTGCACGTGCACTTGTTTTCGCACAGAGTCATCGTATATTACTCTAGTGTTTGGTCGTATAGTCATATAGGGCCTGCCAGGGGATGTTGTCATAGTAAGATGAAGATGACCATGCAGACCTAGACTGATGAGGGTGACGAGAATGGACGATGAGCCCGAAGAATGAGGAAGATGAGGACAAGGACGAGGATAAAGATGAGCATAAGGATGAGGACGAGAAAAAGAAACTGCCAAACGTGCCCATCTCGAGACGGCAGCAGACAGCAGGGAAAGGGGAGGGAGATGCGAGGAAGCGGCGGCGGAGCGGGGGGATGCACAGGAACAGAGCAAAGGCAGGGGGCAGGAGCCAGCGGGAAGGGGCCTGGGCGCAGACGGCAGAAGAGAGATGTTATGTTTTCTGCAAGCACGTTCATACGGGATCCCCCTAAACTTTCGGATTTTGCCAGGCAAGGATCGAAGCTGCGGGTACGACAAGGGCTATGGCGCGGGCGGCTATGGCAAAGGAAAGGGCATGGGAGGAGGCGCCCCGGCTCAAAAGCCTTCAGCTGGCTTCAGTTCGGTTGCCCGTACGCTGGGACCTAACCCCACCCAAGCTCTTCGACTGAAGTCCTACAGCCCCATGCAGGCCTTGAACTCAGAGTGTCGGCAGATTCGCTCCCGCAGCGGTCGAACTGATGTCGGCTTCTGCTTTGTGATCCTTCTTTGCAGTCTCTGCTCTTCTGTGTTATGGTCTCCTGTCCATCATTGGGTTGCTGTCGAGGCCATTTCAAATATAGGGATGTGGCTCTACATTTGCCGGGGTCACGTGGTCGGCCTCTCCCCACACCGGATCTGCAAGTCCGATGCCCCAAGCCCCCTTTAACCTCAGACTCTGAAGCAAGATCCCAAAGGAGAACGAGACTACTCCGATGGGGAGATGGAGACTGGTTTCGTTGCGACCAGAGGCCTCAAAGACCTGAGGAAGTATCCTCTGTCTCCCGTATCTTCAGATTTTCGGGCCTGGGGTGTAGGGCTCAGCGTTAAAGATAATAATGTTATAAGCTCGAGGGGACGACGGAAACTGGTAAGTCAATCTCCGGTCTCGCCCCGAACGGCTCCCTTTGTTCCTCAAGTCCACGGTTGATGCACCTCCGCACTCTCAGTGCTCACCGGTCGGCAGGGCACTGTGCAGAGAAGATGTTAGACTGCCACAGTGGAGAGTTCTGTAACTTACAAACTCCTAAACCCATTCTGTCACCCCTGCTGTAAACCACTACAAACCCCAAAAGACTCTCTAGACCTTCAGACCCTGAACTCTACCCCAAGAAAGCACGGAAGACCCTAAACTCCTAAACCCTACATATTTATGTTGCGATATATGGTATTGCGTTGGCAGGAGCCAGCGGGAAGGGGCGAGGGCGCAGACGGCAGAAGAGAGATGTTATGTTTTCTGCAAGCACGTTCATACGGGATCCTCCTAAACTTTCGGATTTTGCCAGGCAAGGATCGAAGAGCTGGCAAGGGCAACGGCTGGTACGACAAGCGCTATGGCGCGGGGGGCTATGGCAAAGGAAAGGGCATGGCAGGAGGTGCCCCGGCTCAAGCGCCTTGAGACTGCCACAATAGGAGAGTTCTGTAACTTACAAACTCCTAAACCCATACTCCATATTCTCAACCCGAAAAAATACAAACCCAAAAACCGCTCTAGACCCTTAACTCTACCCCAGAAAGCCCAGAAGACCCTAACCCCCATATATTATATTGGGGTATATGGTATTAACTACATTGGCGTTACAGTGTTACTTATTATACGTAGTCATCTCGCTGACTGTGTAATTCTTCCCCAAACTTGATGGCTGTCAGGCTATGTTGATTAGTAACTGAATCAGATTATCATAGTGTGTATTTGTTTTCATGGTCATAGTATAAAGCTCTAGTGTATTGGCCGTATGGTTATATAGGGACTACAACAGGATGTTGTCACAACTATTAAGAGGCAATCTCCAGACGCTCGCACGGCCACATTCCCAGCCACTGTGCCTGTATCCTTGGTTTTGGAGGTGCCCCCTCCTTCCCGAATGCCATAGACGCCCGGGAGCTGGAAGCCTCGGCTGCTGTTAAGGGGTTTAATTTAAGTTACCATAATGGGCATCTATGGTAAATAGTTTGGTTTCCTTATTGTGGTACCTTCAATTGAAACCCTTACGTAACAAGAACCCAGTTTTTCCTTTTCTGTTGATGTCGAAAAGATTCAGGATGTGAGAGGCAGCGCCAGCCTTGTTTAGGGTTCGGGGGTTCGTTGGGGGGTTGTCCGCGATCTATAGTTCTGAGGGTTCAAGGTTTGCTCCTTTGGGGGCTGAGGGTCGGCTTGGGTTGAGTAGCGAAATCATAAGCCAGCTCGCTGTCAACTTCTGGGTCGGCTGATGGAGATTCTGTGTTCTTTCTCCTAATGGCTCGTTCCTTCATGGCTTCCTTTACGGGTTCCGTGGAAGGGCTCCTTTATGGGTGCTTTGATGGGGTTGAGGGTTGAGGCTTCACTGACCTGAGAGATCACGGAAACCTCAGGATCTTGGCGCCGTGGCTCTGGGATCCTTCGACCTCTATGTTTAGCTTTATAGGCTTAAGGATGTATAATTTAGGGCCTCGGGTGTATGTTGCCTTTTGGGGGCCCTTGTGGGAAGACTCCTGGGCGGCTTGCAGTAGTGTTTGGGGATTCAAGAGCTATGCCTGCGAAGCGACGAACCAAAAATTCCGCTGTCTGCTGCACTTGATGCGCTTGCCTCTCGCATCCAAAATCTCTTCACATCAAGCGAAGGCCCATAAGCGCTTCAGGACCCAAGGACCAGAATGCATGCCGACTCATTGTAAGGAACAACAAAGGATCAGAAAAAGAATCCAACAAGTTCAGACCCCCCAGTGTTAAGTAAGCAGCACTGCAAAGCACGAGCCTCTAAAGCAGCTTGAAGCTTGGAACTTGTTCACAGGTAAGCATGAATATGAGTCGCCTGAAACGATACAATATGTTTCGGCACCTATCGGCCTGCGTGTAGCCCATCGAGACCCTAAACCCTCAGGCCTCAGTTCTAAATCCTGAACCCTAAACTTAGATCCGCAAGTCTCAGCCCCAAGCCCAGGAGGCTACACTTCTTTCCAGCGCTGAGCCCGGCACTGCGAGACCGCAAGCACATCAGACTTTTGGCCTTTACAGCTTTCAGCAGGATTCAGGGTCTACGGTTTAGGATCTCAGAGAGGTGTGAAAGGGTCCTCGCAGCGTTGTCTACAGGATTTGTTGCTCTTGTTGCTTTGCGTGCGTGTAAGGCCCTATTCGACTTTTTTGGTGTGTGTAGCTTCGATTCTTAATGGGGCTCAGTATGTAAATCGGTTTGATTGTGTGCCATTTTGCATTTTAGCCCTCATGATGGGTGTTGCCGTACCTATATCCGTACATGGAACTTGCTAACTCCCCGATGCTAGGCAATGTGTCCAGCTTCACATGACGGAGCCCACGGGTGCGAGTTGAAAGGCTCTTGGATGTTGGGACTTTGGCTTTAGGTGCCACTGAGGCCGAAGCTATTTTCAAGTACTATTCCCCGGGTTTCCAAATATTATGACTCTACGGTTATATGCCCCAAAGCCCCATTCCAATTCTGAAGGCCTTACATGATGCAAAAGCCCCTGAAGCTTGGACCTGCAGCCCCTTTACTTAAAGCCCATCCCTTCTACCCTTTAACCCTAAGCCCTGAACCCTATTCCCGAAACCGTAAACCCTTATCAACGCTCATGTAAACGCTAAAACCTAAACCCTTAGTTTAAGTTCTTAAGCCCCCAAACCCTTGAGCCCGAAACCCCTGTTGTGGGAGCTCTTAGACAGCTCTGAGGATACAGCCCCAGCCGTGGAGCGGCTCTGGCTGATTGAGAACTTCGGGGTTCGGATTTTAGGACGTAGGGCTTTGAAGGTAACCACTCAAACTGATAAGCCGCTGCTATGCTCTGCTGGCAGCGCTTGAGTGCTATTGAGACAAGCCTAGTCGGAAGCGTATTTCAGGGTGTTTGGGTTATCAGCCAACACTAGCCCTAAGAGCCGGCGGCAGCAGCAACAAATATCGTTTTTGCCGTGGTATGCCCTGACTGTGCGAGCAGATGCCCACAGCAGCAACGACAACACACCAATGGCAGTTGCAAGCGCAGCAGCAGTTATCCATTTGCTGGTATGTCCCGGCTAGGCCAGTAGCAAGCAGCAACCAACAGCACAAGTACCACCATCAGGCAGCAACAGCAACAAGAAGCAGCTGCCTGTTCTATTCTGGCATGCCTGGCCTAAGCCAGCACAAGCAACAGCAGCAGCAGGAACTTGAACCGGCAGGAAAAGAAGCAGCAACAAGCAGCAGCATAATTATTGAGCAATCAACCTTGGATTGCGCATCAAAGTCCAGGTCTAGCCGTGAATGACGTGACTGAGGTCGCACTCCCAGCCCTCCGACGCCTCGCGGCTCCTCCGCAGCAAGCCCCAAATCCCGAAACCCTAAACCCCCCCTTTTAAACCTGTTCTTGCAGCCCAGGCCCCCAGGACCCAGGGTCCGAAACTCTACGGCCCAGAGTCTTTTCTGAAGTTTCTCGCCATGCGCATCCTTTCTCGACGCTAAGCTTCAAAACTCCAACACCCTGTACAACCCGAACCCATGAACACCTCAACCCTAAACCTCAAACGCCTGCACAACCTGGAGGCTTTCCAAATCTGCTTGAACAAGGCCCGAGAATGCCGGAGTTCTTCGGTATTGAAACTTTGCATGTTGTGCTTACTTCAGGGTTACAACAGGAAATAATTTGAAGGCTTTATCGCCCCATGAATATCGGAGATTTTGGGTTTGTGATTTTAGGTGTCAGAGTTTGCAATCAGGATTCTGATACGGGCGATCACCTCTAATCGTATGAAGGTGTCGGGACCGCGGTTCAGGATTCTGTCTTCACGACTTCCCTTCCGGCTTGCAGTTTAGGGGTTTGCGGTTTCTCTATGATGATCTGTGAGTGTCCTGTCTTGAGGTGTTCTCCGCCTGTGTCGGTTTCTTTCGTCGCCTCGTGGTTTTGCTCGTCGTAGTCATCCTCATAGTTTCTTTCACTGCATCCTGTACTACTATGATATTATGTAGTACAATTGTTTAGTAAAATGCTATACTGTAACTTGATATGATAAGATATGATGTGCTTTCTCTTCCGTGCTTGGTTGCTTTATGATGGTATACGGGATCTATGGAGGTTTAGGGTCTAATATGGGGTTAGGTGTTGGGTTTGGGATTTAGGGTTGAGGGTTCAGGGCTCAGGGTTTGGAGTTGAGGGTTCTGAGCCGCAGCTTTCGAACTGAGGCCATATTCCGAAGGATCGATGCGTTTTTTTGGGCGGAATAGTTGATATTGTCGTCCCATGTACATGAAGCCGTCACCTTTTTTCGGGTTTCTTTTCATGGTACGTCTGACAGTGTTGGGAGGTCGCACGGCAGCACACACAGCAAGCGCTGCAAACAGGATAGGGGCAAAGCCACACAGCAAGCGCTTCAAAAAGAAGTTAGGGGCAAAGCCGCACAGCAAGCGCTGCAAACAGGATAGGGGCAAAGCCGCACAGCAAGCGCTACAAACAGGATAGGGGCAAAGCCGCACAGCAAGCGCTGCAAACAGGATAGGGGCAACGCCACACAGCAAGCGCTTCAAAAAGAAGTTAGGGGCAAAGCCGCACAGCAAGCGCTGCAAACAGGATAGGGGCAAAGCCGCACAGCAAGCGCTACAAACAGGATAGGGGCAAAGCCGCACAGCAAGCGCTGCAAACAGGATAGTGGCAAAGCCACACAGCATAGACGCTGCAAACAGGATAGGGGCAAAGCCACACAGCCAGCGCTGCAAACAGGATATGGGCAAAGCCGTTGATGGGGGTTGTGTGGGGTCCTAGAGGAAAGGGTTGTAGGAAAAGTTTTGCGGCGTTTGTATGCTTTGACGAATACAGTTTTGTGCAGAGCTGTTGAGGGTTTTCTCCGTCAAGGGTGTTATATAGGGCTTTGGGTAGTTGGAATAATGTTTCGGAGATAGACTGTAAAAGTTGAAGTATGTATGGACGTAGTTGGACATTCGTACCAAATATCTGCAGACCTGGATAGGGTTTTTAAAGGGTTCTTAAGACAGTTTGATTGGTTTGCGAAGGTTTTTTGACCGTGGCGTTAGTGAAGAAGTATAGTGAACCCTATGCATACCGTTAAGTAGTATGAAAATGCCCTATGTCAGGCTTGACTGAGCCTATAGGATGCCCCAGCTAAGCCCCCAAAGCAGCGCTGAAATCACGCATAAATCCGTAGGTACCCCCAAACCCTACAGCACCCGTACCGGAACCCGGAATCCTAATATAGGGGCCTAAATAATAACCAAAACTGTTTTGGAGGTCCCTTCTGATAATTATAGTATCATATACTCCCAAACCTTATTCTAATTATTAAGACCCCATACATTAGAAGATTTAAGAGAGAGACCTTTGTCCAGGACGTCACCAGCAACCTCCAAATGGTTTTGAGTGCGGCCGTGGCGAAGCAGCAGCTGGATGTGCGAGCATGAAGATGTTTACTATAGGGGCCCA